TTTCTCTAATTTACTACACCACCTAAACATTTTAAAACGTACTTATTGCTCTGGTTGTGCCTCAGGGCAGCAATGCAGCGCCCCAGTGTTAGGAGGGAGGTGTTAATGTTGTTGGCCTCCTTCATCCTCTCACCATTACGCTGATCTTTACAGCGTTCGGACCCAGCCAAATCACACACAGTCAGCCTAAAAAGGAGACAGACTTACATTATCACCTTTACAAACTCTAATCAATATAAGTTAAAATGACCCAAAACTGAAATCAAGACTGGGTAATTAAAAGCCAACTTACTCGCTGATGTGCATGGCCTGGCCTGAATTTGCTCCAGGGTGGACGTGCAGGACACGGAGGGAAAAGATGCTGTGGCTGTGTAAGTGATACGTTTATGATCAGAGTGTCCACAAGTGTAACTCAAATTAAGGTTTCAATAGGTAAACACGTCATTTAACATGCTCCTACCTGCGACTGGAGTTCTGGTTGAGGTGAGTGCTGGCGAAGCTTTGGTTGCGACGCCCAACTCTCAGAATCCTCCAGGCTTCCTCGGCGCTGCGGATCTGGATCCAGGTCAGGTCTGATACAACAGGAAGAAGCACAATGTGGTGCACGTGAAGGAGCTGCAGCAGTAGTTACACATGCTGTTATGCAGGAAACACATGAATTAAGCTAACGTAGTGTTCAAAGTCGTGACCATCTTTTGCACAGTTCTTTATTCATGCACTCATTCATTGTGGTGTGTTGTTGCACTCCCACAAACACAAAGTCTACAAAGACTGCAGGTAGAGTTGAGGAAAATGAAAGAAGCAATTTACAGTTTTTAAACATCATTTCCTGCCTGATGAAGCGTAACATACATCAGATGAGAGCGGCTGCCTGGTGGGAATGAGCCTCAGGAAGTTCAGGCCAACATACTTTGATCTAGTTTTAACTCCATTCCTGTGAATGAGCCACTGTTACCTTTCACGTAGGGGTTGCCCTGCTTGTCGTCGCTTAGCCGCAATGTGACTCTCTTCCGGGGCTGCTGGGAGGGCGAGGCGTCCAGTAGGTCGTACAGGAACTCGTTGTAGATTTCATAAAAGGACACCCAGATTGAAAACTGCACTCCTTCCTCGAGATCTTCCCCTCCGCTGTGCGACAGGCTGTCCGGCTCCAGACAAACACTGTCCGTGTCTGCAGAGGCAAATTAAAAGTCACATGTTTGTTTTGTTTTTTTAAGGCAGTAATGATTTTAATATAAAGAAAGCAGTGTTTAAACTGGAAATTGGTATGTGCTGCACAAACAACGCTGATGTTGACTTCTTATATTGTAAACAGTGCTGTGTACTCATCAAACACCAACTATTCTACTCCAAATACAGCATGTGGTGCGTTTAGCAGAAAATTGACTCCATTTAGGAATGAAAATCCTCACCTTCCAGCTGAGTACCAAAGGTAGTGGTAGCAGACAGTCCTCCGATGCCACTATCCCAGCTTGTGGTGGTGCCAGTGCAACGAGAATTCCCATCCTGAAATCCATAAGAGGAAGGAGAATCAGAAGATGCATAATTCATCTGCAGGAAAACATTTAACCAAGTAGCAGTCTGCAAGGAAAAGAACATGCCAAATATACCAAAGTGTAGTCACATACGTTTGGAGCACCACAATGTCCAAATGCATCCTAAAATTCACCTTGTTGCTACAATGTGTTCCAGAGTAATGCTGTAAGGCCTTTAAAAGTCATATTTATGTTTACCTCTTTGAGCAGAGAGTTTCTGCGGATTTCCTCTGCCTTGACCTCATTGGCACTGAGCTGCCTCACATCCTGGTATAAGACAGGCTTCAGGTTCATGCCACCGTACAGACGGCCCTGCAGTTTCCTAAACAGGGACACTAAAGCCCGGGGCAGCAGGCCTGCCTCTCGACCGCTGCCTGCAGGCCAAAGTTTGACAAGCATGGTTTATGTTGTGCGATTACATAACAAACAAACCTCAAAAAATAACCCTGGGATTTATGTGTCCAAGTAATATCTGCAGAACAGAAAATAACTCACCCTGAATGGTGTACGTCTTTCCAGAATTGGTTACACCATAAGTGTAGAGAAGTCTATTTTCTCCTCGAAGCACATCGTTTATCATCGCCTTCATTGTGCTCTCATAAAACTGTTGCTGCGCTGTCTCAGGACCAAATATCTAAGGGGAAATTTAAAGAAAGAAAAACAAACAAAAAAAAAACATCTTCACTGGTCTGTTTCACTCCAGCATTCTCATTTTCTTCAAGTTCTTCTCTGAAAATATTATTACGTGATTACTACAGTTTTTTTCTGAATGGGTTTTCAGTTTTGGAAACAGTATGTTTAAGTAAAGAGGAGCTACACATACGACTCTCCTACCTTCGTGAAACTGAACTTGTGAATACTCGGAGTGATGCCTCGTTCTGCTGCTCTCATGTTCTGAGAGTCATTTGGAGCTTTAAGCAGCAGGGTCTCTTCGTCTTGGATAGCCACACAACCCTAAAAGGAAAACAAAATAGACTCAAGTACAGTTTCAGAGTATTGAAAGCTTTTATCCTAGAAGAAACAAAAATGTTGACCTTAATGTCTTACCTGCTCTTCCCCTCTGGATCTCTCCGTGTCAGTAAGTGGTCGGATGCGCAGGAAAACCTTCACCCTCTCGGTGGCCCCTTCATCGCAGCTTTGAGATTTCACTGCTACTTTCTAAACACACAAGCATCTTTGTAAATGTTTTGATGGTAGAATGGAAAAATATTAACACCACCAAACTGCAATCCCAGGGTTTAGAATTTTACATATTGCATCTCGCTCTACTGCAATACCCATCTGGGCTTTTAATGCCTATTTAAGCCTGCCAGACTGAAGAAAGCAGCTGTGTTTAAGAATCAGAGAGGTATAGCAAGTGAACTGGAAAAGTGTCAGAATGATGTAGTTTAAACAGAATGTTTCCCTGCCTCCCTTTCTTTTTTGGGGGGGCTGTTATTCATCTCCTCTGAAGGAAAAGCGAGGTATGAAATTATGGCTTTGAAAAACAGTTACACCTCTGGCAATATTGATCAATTATATATATATAGACACACACAAAAAACAAAAAAATCTCATATAGATTTGTTCTGAACATGTTTTGTTATACCTGAGGGACATATGATTTTTTTTTTTTTTGGGAACTCTTACCGGCCCTGTAATGGATGGCCTGGTGTCCAGGCCCGGGGAAATAACAGAGATCTCTGGTAGACGTGGTCTGGCCAAACCTCCGTGCTCTGCTGCTGTAGATTCAAACACAGCCATTTCCTCCTCCTCATCAGAGGGGCATCCACACGGAGATGACAAAGACAGCGCCATGCCCGTCTATCTGTTCCAAGGATAACACGTTTTCATTAGTATGTAGTAATTCTATTAAAAGGGGATTACAAAATGTTTCAAACATGGGCTTGACTTAGGGCGTGTGCACAAGTCACTTTGAAAGGATAATATAGGCTTGTGTTGGAAAAAAAACAGCAATATACAACATAAAAGATGAAAAACTAAACACACTCACACAAGTGTCTGTGTTGTTTGTAATAATGATGTAATGATGTTATTCTCTGCTCAAGCATTTCATTGCTATGAATTAGTTAAACATGGGTGTGTCGTCATCAAACAAGCTGACAGGTAAAGGAACACTAGTTTACTGTTTTAAAGCCAAATTGAACCTGCTTAAGTAGTCAAACAGGAAATATTTCCCAGGCTTTCACCAGACCAGGCAAGTTTGGCATTAGTGCTGATCAATACAACTGCTCTACAGCAGGTCCTGTCATGCTTAGTCTTTGTAGCTATTACGATGAGCGAGTTTAGAAGTCTCGGTTTTTCAATTTCATTCCCTTTTTTTAATCCAAATGGTATTTCGTGTTACACTGAGCAGCATTTAAAAAGTATCAAATCCACGTTTAGCATTCAAAAAAAATAAAATAAAGATCACTCGAGCCATCTTCACCTTTCACTGCTTGTTACAGCAAGAAGACTTTGTGCTTTCAAAAAGTGTCTCAGCACTGAGTGCAACTAAAATAAAAACCTCAGTGCTGAACCTTTACATGTGCAAGTAGCCATGTTTAGCCTCCAGTAAGCACGTAGTAAACGGAGCCTATATTGCAGTGAATTAAACAGAGTCACTTTAATGTTTATACTAGCTAACATACATTTAATAACAATGATTTCTACTACAAGTACCAATATATGCTAACAAAGAGACTTGCTTCCTGGTTTTAAATGGGAAAATCGTGCAGTCACTCAAAACCAAAAACAAGCACACAAAAAACGTAGATATTGCATTTAGCTTAACACACACTTACATAACTCCGTCAAACAGTTATAGTTACAATCTAATATTATTTTTGTAACTATTACGTTATCTTGTTTAACGTCGTATTGCCCACGTTTAAGTAAAACTCACTTTAACTTTCCTGGAATGTCCAAAATGTGCCTGGTTTCCTGTAAGCTCGTTAGCTTAATGTTTACGATAGATCGCCAAAAGCCAACGTTGAGGTAAAACTGTATAAGTTCAACAAACCCTCCTCGTCTCGAGCTCTTAGCACCAGCTGAGCCGCTTTACCCGATTGCTTTTTGGGTTTTTGAACAATGCGCTTCCCCACAGGGAGAGTCGCCGATTGGTTAAAGTGTATCGCCGTCTTCCCTTTGATTGGTTAACAGGGCCTCGCATGGCGCATGGGCTTTGGAATATGACGTCGCGAGAGGGGGTGCGGCCAGGATTTTTGGTCGAGGTGCCATTTTAGTAGGCCAAACAAAGCGAGCGAAAGCACACGAATAATATCCGCTATGGTTCGTACTTGCTGTGTGATGGGTTGTAACGTTAGATCGCACGACCGGCAAGGGAATAAGCTTGAAAATGGGCTGTCTTTTCATTGTTTCCCCACCTGGAAGCAAAACCAGGGAGCTCATGTGTCGGATGTTACCAAAAGAAGGCGTATAGCCTGGATAGCAGCTGTGAGACGAGCTGATATCCAGTTCTCTACCATCCCCAGATATCTGTTGGTGTGTTCCAGACATTTTCATTCGGGTAAGTTCTAAATAAGTTCATATTACTCTGTATAGCCTATTAGTTTTATTTCGCTCTGAAGTCATAGCAAATTAGAACAAATATCTCAATGTGTGATTTTGCAGGACTGCGTTCTATTTATAGAGTTGCTAATTACTTAGCATAATTGCAGGCAAACCAGCCTATGAAATGGATGAAACAAATCCTGACTGGGTTCCAACGCTATACATGGGGCACTCCGAAATCCCTGCTTCAAACTTGGACCGTCACAGACGACGAATGCGACGGAAGCAGCAAAGAGCAGCAGTCGGAGGTAAATACAACTCCCACCAACATAAAAAAATGCTCTCACTGTCCGGTAATCAGCTCATAGCTTTTTGATGAGTCATGCACTTTTAAGTGGGCTTCTGGTGAACATTTGCCTTATGCACTCATTGTATCTGACAGGCTTTAGTAATGGAGGAGCAGAGTGTGAAGGTGAGGCCTGCATAGACGTTACATGAAGAGCTGCCAGAGATGGACATGACAGAAGACCGACACCTTAATCACCACGTGATGGAGGCTGTGGCCAAGAGTGGAGGCTGAGGTAGTAGCAACAAATGTAGAAAATGGAGATGGGACAGAGAGAGATGCAGAAGCTAAAAGACAGCCGATGGATTGTGTGTGTGCTGTGAACAGAGCAGAAATAAACCAGCTGTTGGAGGAGAACAGAACGCTTGAATCACAGTTGAAAAAGACAGCTGAATGAAAAATGTTTTAAAGGATGACACCAAAAAAGTAAAATATTATACTGGAATACCTTGTTTTGCTATTTTACTCTCCTTATTCAACAATGTAAAAGCTTTCCTGCCAGCATCAAAGAAACCGTGGCATTTCCAAATGCTTTTACTCACTCTTCCGCCTTACATTTGATCTTCCTGTCCAGCATCTTTGTGTGCAGAGGTTAAGATCCCCGCATTTACAAAAGGCTTCTGTCAACTTGATGCCAAGGACATTGAAGATACAAGAGCTATTGCCCACCTAATAATTCATGTCGAGCGAGTTGTAGGTAGTTTACGCAACAGGTATAAAATGCTGCATACCACCATGCCAATCAGATTACTTCTTTAATGTCAGGGTGAAGAGGAGGCCCTTCAGGATAAGATAGTAAAGGTTTGCTGCGTTTTGGTGAACATGTGCCCCATTGTGGTAGTAAAACCAAGGGAAAATGAAACTTGCTCTTAAGTACTATTAAAAGTCTTGTGCTGTGTATATGTAGTTATAATTTTTCAAAAGATACAGTAAATTTACAGAATGTTAGTGAGTGTTATTATGTAAATGCTGTCAATATTTTATGTAAAAAAATTTGTCAGTTGTAAACCATAAACGACATTGATTCTACATTGTAACTGATTTGATGTTCTATAAAGTGGTTTTAATAACAGGCAAAAATTTGTTTGTTTCTTTATTCATCTTTTAAACAGTGGTACTTAGTAAGTACATATTCAGTAAATGAAAATTATTTGCATGGCAATGCACTTCAGGCATCAATCTAGACCCCCTAAATAAAAAGTTATGGGGCATTCAGAACAGAACTATGCTCGGAGAAATATTTTCCCACCAGTTCTGGAAGGCACACTTTTTTCTTTTTTTTTCTTTTTTTTGAAGAACTCTTGTGCTCTCTTCAAACGTGGTTCCCAGAAATCTACATCAGGGAAGATGTGTACCACAGCCATGTCTCTTTGAGTCCATGCAACGAGGTCACAGTGGTTGGAGCTGGTGACAAAGTGTTTGCACCTGTAAGTAGTAGGGGTGCGCCCTCTTTAAGTGAAGTCCATTTGCAGCTGACTCCAGGCAGAAGTCTTTATCCTGTGCATCCAATGCCTGCTTAATGCTGTCCGTTGTGTATTTAAAAGGACACTTAATCTCCAGGCACCACTCCCCACAACAGTCACACATTGTGAGATGCTCCAAGTTCAAGAAAAATTGTGTTCACAATAAAACTGCATAAACAAACCTGCAGTTTGTAGTGATGTGCTGCAATTTTTTGGGTGTAGGCCTTTCATGCATCCTCTTCATGCTCCACTCCCCATCTTGTTTGTGTAACAGACAGTTTTCAGGGTAGCTCACACAATTAACAACACTTTGGGCTGGTGTTTCCAAACTTGTGGCAAATACAGCGTGCATCACCGAAGCTGTGATTCTTCCTGCACACCATCGAAACCAACTTCTTGTGCTGAAGTCTTGCGTGTCCTTCAGTAGCTTCTGCCTGCTCTTCAGTCACTGTTGCAGCATTTAGACACTTTACACAGTGCAGCTGTAGAACTGTAAGGCCAAGGAACTGTGTGCCTTTGTTGTGTAAAAATGCCAGAGACTGGGGTAATGTAGGTGAATATACAGTGTATTTAGTGTGATATTTCTCAGTTCCTGACAAACCCACAGCTTTACTGTGTTCCAGCAGTGTATCCAATAGCAGTGACAACTCCTCCAGAGTAGCAGGTGGAATTTTTCTTTTTTGAGGACGGCTTCTTTTGCCTTTCACTACAGACGGCCTGTTTATGTTTTTATCGAGAGCATTTTTTAAAAACGGTGCCTGCTTAAACAAAGCACACATTTCATTGGTTCCTCTCATATCACGTGCTGTAAGTAAATGTGGCATTTGATCATAGCGTGGAGGCAGCATGGCTGTGTATGGGCATGTTTACAAAGGTTGTCATAGGGAAGGTATGTAAGAAAGAAAAAACTGAAAATAGGGAGACAGGAGTCAAAGTGCAGAGTATCTCATTCAAAACTTATGCCTTTTTAATTTCATGCATATCAAATGTTTACAGCAATAGAAAATTATTACTTTAAAGTCCATTTAATAACACAGTATTGGCAGTTAAGTACAAGGCAAACAAACTAAACCCATGCCATTACAATGTATTCTGTACAGAAAAATAAAAGAGTTGAATTGCATTTAAACATGAAGGAATCGTGAGTAATATGACTCTGTCACATAAAAGAAATGGGCATCGTGAGTACAATTCCTTTTGAACAACTGTGACAGGATGATCACAAAATCCCCCTTCAGGGCTCAGCATAGGGGATCATCTGCCTCCATCTCACCCTGTCCCTAGCATACATTTCTGTCCTCCTATTTCACTACATGAACCTTCCATGAACCCTCTCTGTGGTCTTCCTTTTTTCCTCCTCCCTGGAAGTTCCATCTTCAACATCTTTTGTCCAGTGTATCCACCATCCCTCTTCTGCACATGTCCAGGCCATCTTGGCTCTCTGACTTTGTGTCCAAATGGCTCAACCTGAGCTGTCCTTCTGTCCATTCTGGTCGCTTCTACTAAAAACATTGTCATCTTAAACTCTGTTGTTCACAAAATCCAAATTTCTTTAGATTTTCTACCATTTAATATATAAGCTAAATGTTTTAGGTTTTTTTTGTTATATAATACTAATAACTATGTGATTATACTTGAAATACTTGCTGAATCCTTCCTCATTCTTTCCTTTAATTAATACTTATAAGAAACAGTAATATAAAAGCAGAGTATTGCATAAAGCCTTGCATTGCTGGATGCTGCCAAATAAAAGTTTGTGAATTCCTGAGACAATCACCATTGTGAGATTTATGCAAATCAGGTATTCTTTTTAAAATTTATGTCATTAAATACACTATGTATTTATCCAGTTACGTCTTGTCCGGGTTTCGTGCTTTGCTCCATAGCAGCAGCGATGCTGTGAATACTGACTCGATCGTGTGAATTTTCAAGCCTTTGTTTCTGCACACTGTGGCGAACACCATAACAAAAGTAGATGATCAAACCTGTTCAAAATTTTAAAAGAAACGTAGCGGTCACACATATAAAAAGAGATATTTTTGCACATGTATAATCTTTTTTATGTATTCTGTAGCAGAAATGTGCTGCACATACCTACTCCCATCCACACTGTATAGCGGATCCAAGTGTCTGATCCAAGCTGAGCCATTAGATGGACATTGACAAAGGTACTAAAAATAGGAAGTAATGGGACAAAAGGAACCTGGGGATATAAAAGAGGAGAAGCATTGTTAAAAGATATTAAAGGAAAAAAAAAAAACCCAAACCCCCCAAAATTCAGAACTTTGGAGCTTAAAAAATAAATAAACATGTAATGATAATACAGGTTGGCTAAATTTCTGTTTCTATTTCTATGCTTTCATTAATCAGTCTTCACTGTCTTTCTTTCATACCATGAAAGCAGCTTCTGCTGTATTCTGCGGTTGCCTCCAGACGATGAGGATGATTAGAAAAATCATTGCTACTATCACAGAAAGACAAAGTATGCTCCACCACTCCAGGGCTTGCAGGTAATCTACAGCCTCAGATACGAAGACGCTGAGAACAACTGCTAAAAAGACTGAGGAGAATCAATACGTTTGAGTTCTATTAATCAAAAATTAAATCAATAAAAAGTACAGTACAACAGAAAGATGATGACTCACTAATAACAAAAGTTAAAAGGGACACATTTTTTGATGTCCTTGTAGTGGCTTGGTATGGAGGACATAATATCCCTCCAATGGTAAAAGGTTCTGCTTTGCTTAGACTAGAATCATCACTGAGGTCAGTTTGATACCTGTAAAATTAAGGAAATATAATTTTAAAAAAGTGAAAACATTTAAGGTTTTTAGTTATTTCTACTTATAATATTCTCGTAAAGCACCAAATTATTATATTCCTGTTTTTTTTTTCTTGTTCACATCCTGGAGTCTATTTTTAATGTCTGAACAACACACATCAAGTCAACAGCACTTCATTACATGATCTTTTGTAATTATAAGCGACTGATTAAAGTAAAGAAAGCCTGATGTCTTCATAAACTCTTCAAACAAGCAAACCCTGAGTCATTCATCTGTTTAATTTCATTACGCTCATTATTGTGCATTGTTATTTCCCTATCTAGCGTACTCACACATTTTATGACAGTAATATGACCGTATCATAGTCAATATTTTGAGGTTGTTGAGCCATTTTGTGACTGACCTGTGTATCTAAACATATTATTAGGTATACTGTAAGCATCATAGAAGGCAGTAATAATATTAATTCATTTGTATAAACAACTTAATTCCGTCTCTTATCACAGGTTCTTCGTAACCACTCATAAAAGGTAAGCTTCTTTCAATAACAAATATACAACCTTGTCTATACATATATGTCTTGAGTGACCGCTTATTTCTCTATACAGTGGCTTGCAAAAGTATTCGGCCCCCTTGAACTTTTCCAGATTTTGTCACATTACAGCCACAAACATGAATCAATTTTATTGGAGTTCCACGTGAAAGACCAACACAAAGTGGTGTACACGTGAGAAGTGGAACGAAAATCATACATGATTCCAAACATTTTTTACAAATAAATAACTGCAAAGTGGGGTGTACGTAATTATTCAGCCCCCTGAGTCAATACTTTGTAGAACCACCTTTTGCTGTAATTACAGCTGCCAGTCTTTTAGGGTCTGTCTCTACCAGCTTTGCACATCTAGAGACTGAAATCTTTGCCCATTCTTCTTTGCAAAACAGCTCCAGCTCAGTCAGATTAGATGGACAGCGTTTGTGAACAGCAGTTTTCAGATCTTGCCACAGATTTGATTTAGATCTGGACTTTGACTGGGCCATTCTAACACATGGATATGTTTTGTTTTAAGCCATTCCATTGTTGCCCTGGCTTTATGTTTAGGGTTGTTGTCCTGCTGGAAGGTGAACCTCCGCCCCAGTCTCAAGTCTTTTGCAGACTCCAAGAGGTTTTCTTCCAAGATTGCCCTGTATTTGGCTCCATCCAGCTTCTCATCAACTCTGACCAGCTTCCCTGTCCCTGCTGAAGAGAAGCACCCCCAGAGCATGATGCTGCCACCACCATGTTTGACAGTGGGGATGGTGTGTTCAGAGTGATGTGCAGTGTTAGTTTTCTGCCACACATAGCGTTTTGCATTTTGGCCAAAAAGTTCCATTTTGGTCTCATCTGACCAGAGCAGCTTCTTCCACATGTTTGCTGTGTCCCCCACATGGCTTGTGGAAAACTGCAAACGGGACTTCTTATGGTTTTCTGTTAACAATGGCTTTCTTCTTACCACTCTTCCATAAAGGCCAACTTTGTGCACTGCACGACTAATAGTTGTCCTATGGACAGATTCCCCCACCTGAGCTGTAGATCTGCAGCTCATCCAGAGTCACCATGGGCCTCTTGGCTGCATTTCTGATCAGCGCTCTCCTTGTTCGGCCTGTGAGTTTAGGTGGACGGCCTTGTCTTGGTAGGTTTACAGTTGTGCCATACTCCTTCCATTTCTGAATGATCACTTGAACAGTGCTCCGTGGGATGTTCAAGGCTTGGGAAATCTTTTTGTAGCCTAAGCCTGCTTTAAATTTCTCAATAACTTTATCCCTGACCTGTCTGCTGTGTTCTTTGGACTTCATGGTGTTGTTGCTCCCAATAGAGCAGCTGTATTTGTACTGACATTAGATTACACACAGGTGCACTCTATTCAGTCATTAGCACTCATCAGGCAATGTCTATGGGCAACTGACTGCACTCAGACCAAAGGGGGCTGAATAATTATGCACACCCCACTTTGCAGTTATTTATTTGTAAAAAATGTTTGGAATCATGTATGATTTTCGTTCCACTTCTCACGTGTACACCACTTTGTATTGGTCTTTCACGTGGAATTCCAATAAAATTAATTCATGTTTGTGGCTGTAATGTGACAAAAAGTGGAAAAGTTCAAGGGGGCCGAATACTTTTGCAAGCCACTGTATTTTGTTAAGCCCTAGCAGCCTTAACTAATGAGCCACCACTGGTTGCCACTCAGTTTAGACAAGATCTCCAACAGCACTGGCTATAAGCCCCACAACATGACAAGGTCTCCACCGTGTTTTAGCTGCAGACATCACTCCATAAGACCTGTTGTCACTGGTTTTTAGTCTAGCTCTTGTCTTGTGTTGAGGTATTTGGCAAAGCTCAGCATTTACTCCTTGCTCCCTTCATTAAAATCACTTTTGAAGGGGAGCCATCATTCCAGTGAGATCATCCAGTGGCTGGAACAACTGAGGGGACAGATGAATCTCTCAAATCCTGTGTTGGCTCTTTGTATATTTTGACTTTCAGATACTGTTCATTAGCTAATATTTCAAGCCATGTCTTCTTTTGTCCTCCACATTTCCAGTTTCTTCACTTATTAAAGACAAACTGGACGCCATGCCAAGATTGTGGTGTAGTGTTGTGTTTGGCATGCTGAACCTTTATGCAGGATTCAGAGGCAGAACTGGACTCAAAAAGACTTACAGGAAAGCCACAAACTAGAAAACCTGGAAACTCAGAATGGAATTAATAATCAACTAGGCGAACAAAACACGAGGGAGACAAAGCATGATGGTGGCTGGTACAAGGAACTAAGGAAACTGAGGTCTTAAATATACACTTGAGGCAAACAGGGAGATGAAACACGTAAGTGAACACAGCTGAACTAAATCAGGGAAACAAGACAGAGCAAAACTGACACAGGAGGTGAGACTATCAAAATAAGAGAGGAAGCATAAACACAGGGACGGAAACACAGACTCAAGACATACAACCCAAGGCAAGGAAAGGGTAAACAAACACAGAGGCATGACTGAGACAAGGGAGAGAGAGCAAGCACGGGACAGAAAGAGAGAGAGAGAGAGAGAGAGGACACGAGGGGTGACTAACATAACGAGAAATCAAGAACTATAACCAAACTCAGAAGCACAAGAGAACAATACACTCATTAACCATATATACATAAATCATCTTATACTTCTCCAAAGAAATAACTAACAAGTCCAAGCAAACTGTAATACTGGGTTAAAGACAAAGATGTGCCAATTTCTGGCTAATAGCTCTTTGTGTTATCTTTGGCATTAACTGGAAAAAAATAGCAACCAATGATGTTTTGGGGGGGGGGGGGGGGGGGGGGTGTCTGACAGGCTGCTAGGAACAAAGTGCGTCAAGATACAGTTTTAAACTGATGCTTTGTCTGTTAGACATATTACCATTTCATCCTTTCAGTTAGAAACCCTTTTATATTTGAAGGATTCATAGGTTAGTGATTGAACAAACAAAAAACATTCCTCTGAAAATGGTCAGGTACAAGGACTGAACTAAAACTGAGTGAAAACAGCCAGTGTGCAAAGAAAAACTTTGAAAGACCTTCAGAAAGCTGGACAACTAATGGTGAAGAACACTTTTAAAAAACGCAAGAAAGTCTTGTTTGTTAGGTGCAAAATATACCAATAATAAGCAGTAATAAGTGCAGTGCCAACATGCATACTTGTGATCATCTGTACCTTAATATGAGAATGCAAATGGCAACAAGTGTGTAGGCAAACAGGGTTCCAATCGACATCATGTCAACCAACGACTTCAGGTCAAACAATAAAGCCATGATAGCTGCAAAGAAGTAGGAGAAATTAAATATGTTTATAAATTCTGCAACCATTTTATCAGCGTAGTAGCTGATGGCCTTAACAAAATCAAATAATTAATAATAATAATTATATTATAATCTCTTCTAAAGTTAGTTATACCTGCTACGACCCCTGAAGCCAGTGTAGCAATGACAGGACTTTGTCTGTCACTCATGTTACTGAGAGGTCTGAAGAGCAGTCCATCCCGGGCCATGGCAAAGAGAACACGAGGCATTGGGAACATTGATCCTAGAAGGCTTCGGAAAAAAGCTCATAGCTCATTAACAGCAATTCAGTTATTCTCGTGTCCCTGTTTTAATTCCTAGTAATGATCCCAGTGATTTTATTTGGTGTATGTGCTATAAATGTCACCAAAGGGGTATTGTAATGTATAAAGAATTGTAGGTTTGTTTATACGTGATACTTCATGCATTATACCTTGTTGAGAGCGCACAGAGTGATCCCACAGCAACTGCATACTTTGCAGGGCCCCAACCGATGTATGTAAAGGCTACAGGCAGTGGGCTGTGAACGCTGAGCAAATAGTATGGCATCAAAAGAGTCAGGGTGGCAGACACACCAAAATAAGCCAAGAAGCAGATAAGGAGAGACGCCACAATCCCGAGTGGGATTGACTTCTGAGGGTTCTGAACCTCCTCTCCTAAAGAAAAACACAAAATTATCCCAGTGTGGTTTATGCCATCATTTAATCTTTAGATGCGTTTTTATGACATAGCACCATGTCTATAAAATAAACTATTTTACAAAATGTATATGCTGTAGAGAATATTCTAGTGTCCAAAGATCTCTGTGTTTTTCTGGACAATTGAAATTGCCACAAACATCTTCTGATGTCATTGTGATCAAATTTTCACTTTCCTTATGCAGTGCATTATAATTACTGGCTTTGCACTTAAATTCTAAAAGTTACCTGTTGTTGCAATGCAGTCAAATCCAACAAATGCATAAAAGCAAGTGGCTGCTCCTGCTAATGTCCCCTCAAAACCAAAAGGGAAAAATCCTCCGCTGCCATATGTGGTGGTTTTATTCAGGGTCGTATAGTTCCTGTAAACAGTGATCAACAGTCAAGCAGCTAAAAAAAAGAAAGAAAAATACAGCAGAAGCCAAAATAACGGGGCAGGGGGAGGCCATACTCGGATTGGTTTGGAAGGGTGTCTTCATATCTGTACCAGTTGTTGATGTCCCCCTTTATGAACCCAGAGAGGATAACAAAGAGCAACACCAAGATGTTAACTGCTGTAAAAACTTTATTTACAGTGGCCGATTCTTTAACACCAAATGCAAGAATCCCTAGAAAGAAAAATATATAAGAATTAATTTCACCATGTCAATGAACCTAGTGGAAACTCATTTGTCAAATATTTACTTTAGTCAAAAATATGTAGGACACTTTAACCTCTTGTGTTTGTTTGTTTTTTTTAAATCATTTTTTAAACTTACAATAAACTAAGAGTACCTGTATTATGTTAATAAATAATTAGGTTTTTAGTATATGAAACTTACCTGCCAAGAGCATAATGATACCTGCTGCAAAGAAGTCTGGATAGGGAGCCAATCCAGGTAAATCCATTGCAACCTGTTTGCCTAAAGAGTTGGCAATGACATTTCCAATGAGATCATCAAAGGTCCCACTCCATGCTCTGGCTACACTTGATGTCCCTTAACAACAGAAGCCATTAGCAAACAATACCCAGTGTTACTTAAAATCACTTGACAAATATTATTTTAATCTATGATTTTTCCAGGATTAATATTCATTCAATGGCCTTATTGTTACCTATGACATAAGACAGCAGGAGGTTCCAGCCTGTGACAAAAGCCCATATCTCACCCACAGTCACGTAGCTATAGAGATAAGCAGAGCCAGTTTTGGGAACACGAGCTCCAAATTCAGCATAACACAGTCCTGCAAAGATGGAGGCCACTGCTGCTATCAGGAAGGAGATTATGATACTAGGCCCGGCCACAGCTCTGGCCACTTCTCCTGAAAGCACATACACACCGGCCCCCAGTGTGCTGCCGACCCCAAGAGCCACCAAATCAAGGGTAGTCAGACACCGGCGAAAGTTGGACACTTCACCTTCAGGCTCCAGAGGTTTTCTACGTGAAATATTCTGCAGAAACTGCAGCACCTTTGCACCGGACATCTGTGATAATTAGGAATTATTCAGTTAATTGTGTGGGTACTAGAAGAAAATCAAAACTTGAGAACTGGCAGTGAGAAAATTGTGAATACAACCAGGACTAGATTTTAATTATTTTTATGCTGTTATCTGATCAAACAAAGTAAATTTGTTTTGTTTTACAGTTCATTTAATCCGAGTTGGTAAATGATAAATGGACTAGTTCTTACGTAGCACTGTTCTGCTCTACTTGAGCACTCAAAGCCTTTATGCATTTAATAATAATTATTATTAGTGTATAAATCACCATATGACTTCACAAATGAACAAGCTCACGTTTCATACCATCAACAGTAAGCTACAACTACACATACAGAGACTTTACTGAACAGTAGAGACTATAAGCACTAATTTTTACTTTGTTATTCATGCAAGAATTTGACAAGTATATTTCATGGTCTATTTGCTGAGTAAATGAGGGCAGATAGTGCTTTATCATTATAAATTTATGATTTTACAGTGTTTATATAATGTACCGATGATTCACCGTGACTCAGATAAGATGTCATTACAAAATAAGCCATGCACACTAATTACACAAACTAACAAACTGAGATTACAGCTGATATATTAAAGTCACATCAATAAAAAAAGAGAGGCATTCCTACCTTTCTAGCTAAACTCTGTGTGAGTCTGTTTTGATCTGTCCCACTCCACACTGTGTATGAGAATAAATTCATTCACCGTGAACTCTTCACAGCCCAACATTTTTTTACACATTATGTTACATTTCAGACTTATGTGCCATTTCTGAAAAAGAGGGGATCAGAATGATTTGTGTGAGCACTCACATATCAAGACTTTATAAAGGTGGGAGCAAGCGGGAAAAAACTTATTTTAGCTGTTTTTTGTGCGTAGATGACACTTATACTAAACATGTTTTTACATTTGAATTAAACTGAATGCTATAAAAAAAAAGCTATTGAAACCTTAATGATGAATTGCTCTTACTGATTCATACATTCGGTCATAAAGACGTGCTGGTGAATTTATTAATTCACTTTATAATTTATTTTTACTTCAAATCTAGAAACACATTTACTCATTTATTGTCATTTCTTTCAATAATATGTGAACAAATTAAGCATGCACTAATTTGCTGTAAGATTATTGGCCTCATTTAACAAATGCTACTGTTAATGGTTCTCACAGTACTTTATACGCCTGCTGATTAGCATACCAAGGTCTGCATGTAGTATGACGACCTTCCTCTAGCTATAAAGAAGTTGACTGAAACTTAGAACAGACTTATTAGACTTATTGTAACCTCTGGAGAGCTTCTGTGTGCCTGATGTCTCGTGAACACACAGTCGCCTTGGGACCCTGGTAAGTCAACACGTTGTAAAGTGAAATGGTTTTCACTGGAGACATCTCCTCAGCAACAAATTGACTTGTTCATCAGAGCGGGAATCAACTAATTGTTTGGAGAACAATTAGTTGAACATAAGGGTACAATCCATTGCTTCCAGGAGTTCATGGAATCACAATGCAGATGAAATACAATAAAAATGTAAACGTGAAAAAGGCACTTAGTTATTACATAATAAAAATAGTAATACTACTACTATTAATAATATTACACAGAACCCTGTTCCAAATCCAGTTTAAAATACCATTTTTATCAAAGCCCATACAGAAAGGCAATCTCCACAACTCGTCTTTTTTAATCCAACAATGAGGCTGTGTACTAGGAAATACATTAATTTTCATTTGTAATAGCGTAGACAAAAGAATAGATTTTAAGCCCCAACCTATCCTCTGCCACTTTAGATGTGATTTCTTTCAGGAGGAGTGAACTGTGAGCTGACTTCATTAGCTGAAGGAAATGGCCTATCCTTCTCTTTGTTAATGATTCATCTGCAGAAAGAGGTTCAGAAGCCAGCAGCATTGTCTAGCGAAATCATTCAGCAGTCAGGATATTTTGGAAAAAGTCCTTAAAATCGACGAATAGCTGCAAATTGACTGTTTCACATGTCTTTAAGTAATACTCGGGAATTTGGGAGGTAAGTTTTATTTGAGTTTATATGCCATATTTTTGTTGTTTTAAATGGATGTTTAAAAAGCAGGACATTATTTTAACCAATAGACCCATAACTACTTTCTAATTTAGGTTTTTAATCATTTGAAACCAGTAATAAAACCATGGTTACTGGCTTTATTGATTTTAAAACACTTTTGAATCGATTTTTAATCACAGTTTAGTTAAAACTGTTCTTTGAATTAACTGAGTTACTTTCTGTTTTTTTAACATTTACCTGCAAGATGTAATAAATCCTAATTGTAGAAAATTGATGTGTTTTTTTTTGTTTCTCCTTAGTGCAATAAAAATTCTTCTTCTCCGTAATGTGGCAAACAATGGCTCCTAGGGGTTGTAGTTGCTTCATTATCACGGCTCTGCCCCAGCATTTTTCCAGCAGTATTAACCAGCTGCAGCAGGGCCGCTATGGCTTTTCTCCATGGTGACTGGGTTCACTGGCCATAGCATTTGCAGGAAGGTCATTAGAGTGTGACTTCTCTCTTGGCTCATGTATATCCTGTGCTTGTTTCAGTTCATCTAGGATATTTCAAGAACACTATGACACTGTTAGTGAGGTGTGAAATGTTTAAATTTATCTCTTCTTAGAATTACAACTAAAGAAGTCAGCTCATTAAGAAAAATCCTAACTCTTAGAAAACTTCTGTATCTGAGTGGTCTGGCTCAAGCAAGAAATATAGCCTTAGGCCATGATGGCTCATTACAATATTTTGTCCCTGCTTAAGCTGGAAAATGAACTCAATAATTGGAGTTAAGTCAGTATTACACACTCGGCATATTCCTGTGTTTTTCTGAATTAAAAACGGAAAACTCTAACGATTTCACCAGTGGTACTTATTTCTAACCAATGAGTTGTTCATCTCTGTGTTTCAAACAGGTAGACCTTCATCAGCATAAACATGAATAACACAAAACAACCCAGCAGGCAGATTGATGGGAGAAGTTAATATTGAAATTTTCTTCACCCTAGGAAGTCACAGAAAACAATCGTATCCAATCAAAGACAAAAAAAGATGAGACTGCTTCTGTATTATTTGACACTGCTGGGGTCCAGTTATGTGATTTCAACATACGGACCCCACCAGAGAGCACAGATGACTGGTGATATTTTACTTGGAGGTCTTTTCCCCTTACACTTTGGCATTGCATCCAAAGATCAAGACCTTGCAGCCCGGCCAGAATCCACTCAGTGTGTCAGGTAATTTATGCTCTGAGGTAACAAAAAACCCTTTTGCAAACCAAGTGTGTCATACTCATGCCTTTTTTCTTTGCACAGGTTCAATTTCCGTGGTTTTCGTTGGCTCCAGGCCATGATTTTCGCGATTGAAGAGATTAACAACAGCAGTACGCTCCTTCCCAACATCACGCTGGGCTACAGGATTTTTGACACTTGCAACACTGTGTCAAAAGCCTTGGAAGCCACCCTAAGTTTTGTGGCCCAAAATAAGATCGACTCTTTAAATTTAGATGAGTTTTGCAACTGTACTGATCACATACCATCAACCATTGCAGTAGTAGGAGCTGCTGGATCTGCTGTCTCCACAGCAGTTGCAAACTTGCTGGGTCTATTTTATATCCCTCAGGTGAGTTGCTGGGTAATAGCTATGTCAACAACACATCATTACTTCATTATCTACATCCATAAAAATTAAGTCTACATATAATGATTTTCGTGTTTGTTCAATAAATGATTTGAAAGTGGTTAAAGATAATTAAGAAGATGCAATGAAAACCTGATAGATTAACTGAGCAATTTCCTGTTTCAGATCAGTTATGCCTCGTCTAGCCGCCTACTGAGCAACAAGAATCAGTACAAGTCCTTCATGAGAACCATTCCTACAGATGAGTACCAGGCCACAGCCATGGCAGACATTATTGAGTACTTTCAGTGGAACTGGGTCATTGCTGTGGCCTCCGATGATGAGTATGGGCGTCCAGGGATTGAAAAGTTTGAGAAGGAGATGGAAGAGCGAGACATCTGCATTCATCTAAATGAACTTATTTCTCAGTATTTTGAGGATCACGAAATCAAAGCACTGGCTGACAGGATTGAAAATTCCACAGCTAAAGTAATCGTTGTGTTCGCCAGTGGCCCAGATGTCGAACCTCTAATCAAAGAGATGGTTAGGAGAAACATCACAGATCGAATCTGGTTAGCCAGTGAAGCTTGGGCAATCTCCTCCCTTGTTGCTAAACCAGAATATCTTGATGTTATGGCAGGGACTATTGGTTTTGCTCTAAAGGCAGGTCGTATACCTGGCTTTAGAGAGTTCTTACGGCACGTCCAACCAAAGAAAGACAGTCATAATGAATTTGTCAGAGAGTTTTGGGAAGAAACTTTCAACTGCTATCTAGAAGATAGCCCGAGATTCCAAGAAAGTGAGAATGGCAGCACTAGTTTCAGGCCTTTGTGTAGTGGTGAGGAGGACATCGCAAGTGTTGAAACACCATACCTGGACTACAAACACCTTCGTATCTCCTATAACGTTTATGTTGCAGTTTATTCCATAGCACAGGCGCTACAGGACATACTCACATGCACACCTGGACGTGGACTTTTTGCAAACAATTCCTGCGCAGATATAAAAAAAATGGAAGCATGGCAGGTACAATGTATTTAATTTATGTTTAATAAAAGGAGTTAAATATTAGATATGCCAATGTGTGAATGATGAAAGCATGTTCTTCTATTTCTCAGGTCCTTAAGCAGCTTAGGCATTTGAACTACACCAACAGCATGGGAGAAAAGATGCGCTTTGACGAGAACTCAGATATGGAAGCAAATTACACCATTATAAACTGGCACAGGTCTACTGAAGATGGCTCTGTGGTTTTTGAGGAGGTTGGATATTACAACATGCATGCCAAGAGAGGAGCCAAGCTGTTCATTGACAGGACAAAGATTCTTTGGAATGGCTATAGCACAGAGGTCAGTGAAACTCTTTTGTATATCCATTAAAACACTGTTATTTCTTGTCATTGAGGAAAAACAAGGGAACGCGGCTCTGACTTATCAGTGTCTCAGCTGATAAATGGTACTTTTTAAGGTAAAACAGCTGCCTGCATAAGTACTATCGGAGCAATAAGAGTGAACCAAAACTAAAGTTGTGATTTTATGTGAAGCTAAATACAGATGTCACCTTTGTGGTTGTGGATTACCATTTTTCAGCTCCGAGTTTTGCATTTTAGCCCTTGCCATCTGGGAAGTAGTCCCCCTGTTGGCCTCCTTTCTCTCCACCACTGGAAATGCAGTGTATGGCCCACCTTACAGGGCCAGTATTTGAGACTCACATGTATGGTATAGTTTCCACATCCATAAGTCAGGTGGTGTCTGCTTCAGTCTCTGTTATGTAAGATGGTGTGTGTGAAGTCCCATGCCTTCCGCTTCTGTAACGTAGACTTCTTTTTAAATTAGTATTGGGGGATTTCTTTATTTCTATTTTACATTTGAATGCCCATCTAAATCAACCCCTCTCATTAACCTTCCTGTTATTTTATCTTCTAAAGGTGCCATTCTCTAACTGCAGCGAGGACTGTGAACCTGGCACAAGAAAGGGGATCATAGACAGCATGCCTACTTGCTGCTTTGAATGCACAGAGTGTTCTGATGGTGAATACAGTAATCATAAAGGTATGTAGGTAGATGCAAAACACTCTCTGTTAATGTTAGACTTGATGAATGATAGAGTTTTAACACAGTTTCTCTTATACAGATGCCAGTGTTTGTGCCAAGTGTCCAAATAACTCCTGGTCAAACGGGAACCACACATTCTGTTTCCTCAAGGAAGTCGAGTTTCTCTCCTGGACAGAACCATTTGGGATAGCTCTGGCTATATGTGCAGTACTGGGTGTTGTCTTGACAGCCTTTGTGATTGGAGTCTTTGTCAGATTTCGCAACACCCCAATTGTGAAGGCCACAAACCGAGAACTATCATATGTGCTCCTTTTCTCACTTATCTGTTGCTTCTCCAGCTCTCTCATCTTTATTGGAGAGCCACAAGACTGGACATGCCGTTTACGCCAACCCGCCTTTGGGGTCAGTTTTGTTCTCTGCATCTCCTGCATCCTTGTCAAAACTAACAGAGTCCTTTTGGTATTTGAGGCCAAGATTCCTACGAGTCTCCATCGTAAATGGTGGGGATTGAATCTGCAGTTTCTCCTGGTGTTTCTGTGCACATTTGTCCAAGTCATGATATGTGTGGTCTGGCTTTACAACGCCCCTCCTTCTAGTTACCAAAATCATGACATCGATGAGATCATTTTTATCACATGCAATGAGGGCTCTGTGATGGCTCTTGGGTTTTTAATTGGCTACACGTGCATATTGGCAGCCATATGTTTCTTCTTTGCATTTAAGTCACGGAAACTTCCAGAAAACTTTACAGAGGCCAAGTTCATTACTTTTAGCATGCTCATATTCTTTATTGTTTGGATCTCTTTTATTCCTGCATACTTCAGTACTTACGGCAAGTTTGTTTCAGCTGTGGAGGTCATTGCTATCCTGGCATCTAGCTTTGGGATGCTAGCCTGTATCTTCTTCAACAAGGTCTACATCATCCTCTTCAAACCCTCCAGGAACACGATTGAGGAAGTCAGATGCAGCACTGCAGCCCATGCTTTCAAAGTGGCTGCCAAAGCTACATTAAAACACAGCACAACTTCAAGAAAAAAGTCCGGCAGCCTCGGTGGGTCTTCTGCCTCAACTCCTTCCTCATCCATCAGCGTCAAGACCAATGGCAATGACTACGACACTGCCTCAGGAAAGCACAGGCCAAGGGTGAGCTTTGGGAGTGGAACAGTTACTTTGTCCTTGAGTTTCGAGGAGTCCAGGAGGAGTTCTCTGATGTGATTGCTAGGTGTTGATGTGTCACCTTCACTGATCCAAATTAAGTAGGAGTGTATTTTTTTAGACTTTGTTTTGGAATTTATTTTAATGTAGATTTTTTTCTTTAAATTTTTTCCCTCTCCATATTTTATCAGAATGATCAGTCAAAACAATATACTGTCTATGAATTCTGTTACTTTTAGTATTTCTGATTAATGTTAACTCTGCTAATATGGTAAAACACAGCAATACAAGCAAAATTTCCAATTGTTGCCTGTTCTTTAAAGGATTATCCACTTTCTAAAAGGCGTTCGCACTGTTTTGTGGCACAATGTTCCCTCCTCTGATAAATATCCTCCTATATTCCCTCTATTGTATTTTGTTATGACACTATGAGCTTGTAAAATACAAACTAACTACCTATAATGTTATGTATATAATAAAAATGAACCAAGATGCAAGTAAAAATTACCTAAATTCTCTTGGAAATAGATCTTATTACTAGAAAATCTGGTGAACACACTGACTAAAGGGGATTCTGGTCTTTCTAAGAACTTGCTCTGCTTGTGGTTTGCTTATCACAAGTATCTGACAACTGCAAACAGTGCAGGCCTGTCTCGCATGTTAATGTCATTCGTGCAGTAATCCTGCCCTGCAGTCATTTCTTTACAATGGTGGTGTGAGGAGTAGCCATCTGCTTGCCAACTGTAAAATCTGTAACTTTTCTAAACTCTATGGTACGTGTTTATTTCAGGGCTGCAGAGATACTTTTACATATAAAGCTGTTTAACAAATCACTGAACGTTTATTGAACAGACGATACAGTACACCCATAAATGTACATGTTCGTGGGTGTACTGAGCACAAATAATAGTATAATAGTGGCTATGTGGAGTCTGCTCTCAAAAACATCCCATCATTTGTTACCAGAATATTGTGAAAGAGCACCTTGTACCTTTACAAAGCTAATGATATTTTTTGTGAACTTTCTACTTTAAATTAAGGTTTAACTCCTTAAGAATGATAAAGGATAGAGAACTGAGTATTAACATGTATATGAAATTATCAACACAAAAGTGAAATACAATAGAGAAGGTATCATAATGTAAGACTTCTTTGATGGTGCAGAATCTCCTGAAACTCAATACAACAAATTACATTTACAACCCTTAAAAGAAATGAATACAGGGAGACATTAAAAAAGGACAAATCCAGTTTTTTAGAGTACCCCACATTTAATCAAAATTATTACTTTGGAATGACCTCAACTGGTCAGTAAATGACAAACCACAATATAGTTGAGTTTCAGCAGTTCAATCTGAATATATAGTCAAAAATGTCTCTTGTCAGTTCATCAAGTCTGAGCTACACCAGAAGGAAGTGCATGTTTCAAATGAATACTGTTAATGGATGTTTGGCCAGTTATGAAATGAAATTGTTTCTTTAATTCTCCTGTTGTGAATGTTTAATGTGTGTATTTAATAAAGGCGGAGATAGCCACGATGGTTTACATATTATTAGTGTCAGTACACTTACGTTGTCTATTTTTCTGACTTAGATGAAAGTCCAGTCATATTTTATGACTAATTAAAACAGAAATTATATAGCCCACACTGTGTGAACATGAAAGCCAAGACTTGGAAAATTTATAGCTCAACACCACCATCTAGGAACGCAGCCAAGGAAATATTCCTCTGAAAAGTAGTGACATCTATTGTTTCAGTGCCCTCTACAACTGAAGTCAAAACCACAACCCCACATCCAAGTCTCAAAATATAATAAAATCCCACGAGCTATGTAATAGCATATTAATATAATATAATACATGTACACTATGTTACAAAAATAAGGTAAAAGGGCATCTCACAAGCACCAGACCTCCCACATGTCTCAATAAGAGGTCAGCGTGCTCAGTTATCCAGGACCACACTCGACCTGAAACTGACTGAGGTGCAGCTGGACAACCAACTCCTCTGTTGACAGGAAGAAACGAGCTTTATCTGTAGAGGCTCAAATATAGCTCTGCAGCACGACCAGCATGTTGCTGACATCTGAACTCTAGGGTGGGATGAACCATGGACTGAGCAAAATAACCAGGAAGCATTGCATGCTGTGCACATCTGTCAAAGCTTGCCCTAGCTGAAAAAGGAGAGGGTTTTGTCAAAGTACTGTAATTATTCAAATGGAAAACACTGGCACACCTGCAAGTGGAAATAGGAAATTTGATTGAATTTTAACTACAGTGGAGTAGAAATTTACCCTTTCACAAAGTTTATTTAAGCTAAATCTTTCATATTTTATTCACATAAAAATCTCACAAAATTAAACGTGGAAAGAGAAAAGACTGGAAAGCAAACTTTCAAAGGCTGTAGTGCTGTTGCATTTAGCTTTTCTACAAGCTGTTTACTTATGACTCTCCATCAATGCTCAGAATTAGCAAAAACAACAACAACAACAACAAATAGAAACAAATTAAAAACCCCGAGTACAAAATCCAAATTCAAATAAATAAACAAGTCCATATTATAGTCAATTTATACCAATTTGCATAGGTAGAATAGACACAAATTAAGCTAAAGTCATTTATAAGACATCTTAAGTGGGAATAAAGATAAGATAAAACCTTTTAATCTTGTTAGAGATTCTTCTGCTTTTTTTTCTTTTTAGAAATATGAGCAGAATCAGAAGCACTGTGTGTAGAGCAATGACTGCATAGTAGTGAAAATTTATAAACTAACGTAACAACAGTTAAAAATGTATCCGTGAGTTTTGTCCTCCAGTAGTTTTTGGTGTCATCAACAGATCGCAAACTTCAATTTTGAAATTTTCACAACGGAAGTATTTATGTGACGCACATCATCATCATCAACTCGCAGACTTTCTGCCTCAACAGAAAAACGGCGTTCATGAGGCATAAGCAAATAATATAAAAAGCAGAAATTAAAGAAGATTTACTCATAATAAATAATATAACCGTTAAACCCCCGCCGCCCGAGATCTCTTCAAGGTCTTAAAGGTAAAACTTTATTATGAAATGCGTGGAACGGAAGTCCTTACTAATTTACGTTTACTTGACTGGTGGGCTTGTAGACGGGCTAATTACAGCGATGTTGTAGTCTATGAAAGGCTACTTAAGTATCAGGTAAGGAAATTGGTGTTTTGCGCTAAATTGAAATAAGGCCAGACTGTACTCGGCTTCCAAGACACGTGTCTCTTTTAATGCTAATGTTTTATTTTTAATAGCCGTTATATCCGCATTCGTCAGCTAGCTAGCAGGTAAGCTATAACTACAGGTGGCGTTTATGTGAGGGCATCAACGTGTAAGTTGTGAGCTTCTGCAATCATAAAAAGGACTGCAGTCAAAAGAGAGAGGAGCTGGCACAAGTATAAGGAAAACAAAAAGGTACTGTTTCGTTGATCTGCACCTCGTGTTATGGACGAACTAGTCGACGTTAGCTTGACTGTGTTCTCAAAATTAACTCAGAGAAATCTTACTAAAAATGGCAGAACATTAATATTTAAATTGTAAAACGCTTTCCTGCTAACGATCCTGCTAGCATCCCAAGAGAGGACAACCATGCTAGCAATAGCATAATGGCTTTCATGTGTTTTGTTTGTCGCTGGTTGTGAGTTAAAAAAATTATCATAATAATGTTAACGGAAAAAGAGTTAGCGTTAATTGTTATGTCAGCTGATGGCATCTGTGTTTGATTTAATGGAGAGAGTGTATTATTATAGTAGTATGTCAATGAAACTGGAGTGTTACTCTGTTTTACATGTTTTTGGTTTAAATAGGAGACCTAGAAAAAAAAAGCCCATTCATTAATCTCCTCTGTAATGGACATTTGTTTTTGGTCTATGTCTTTTGACTTATTTGAGCTACCCTACTAAATCCTGATGTACTCAATGGAGGCCATCCAGGGCTTTCAATTGGTCTCTCGTGTGTTTGGCTGGGCTCTTTTAGTTCGAAAGAGGAAGGAAATCACAAAAAAGGTTCAGCTTTTTTTTTTTTCCCTCGGTTCTCAGGAGGATCTAAAGAAAATTTCTACTATTAACAAGCAGTCCACAGTTTTGATCAACTTATCAGCTGTTTCTATATCTTTGGGCATTTTCTGTTTTTGAAACGGGATAGTTTGTTTTATTATGCAGTCATTTTCTGTAATGAATACTTTACCAGTGAAACTACCATCTGAGCAATAATCTGCTCAAGTGGTAGTACAGGTTCAGAAAGTACACGTATCAGTTCAAGTAACACGGTAAGCTGGTTCCTTAATGTGGCTTTTCCTGCTAATGTGTCACATATTGTTAGCTAAAACCTGCCCTCAAAATGTGTTGCATGTTTCCAAGCAAAAATGCACCCTTTTTTTGGTTCTAACATTTTTATTTTCTGTTCATCTATTCCCAGTTGGTGGAGTGCCCAAGCTTATGCCCCCCCGTCTAAAAGTGGAGTTTTCTGATTCACCAATGGAATTTCACAAATAAGTGCTTGCTCTATATTATAGTGACTATAATAATTAGTTTCTATATAGTCAAGGAGCATGTCTCATCAGCATGGGATGACTGGTCAGCGACTCTATGGCTGTCACTGTTTTTGCTGAAACGTTCTTTGTAAAAGAAGTAGCGTAAACTATAGCTTACAGAATCTACATTCACTTTTTCTGCCTTCACATCAGCAAAGTCACATAGCCATGGGCTATTGTTCAAGTTCGAGGAAGATTTCACGCAAGAGCAAGTACGTCATACTGCTGATTCTTGTGCTGTCAGTACTGGCATGGATAGCAATATTTTCAAGAGAGATGGTGAAACCTATCTGGCATTACCCCGGCACTCAACAAACTCATGTCAAAGAAGAGAGTCAGAGGAACGAGGTCGACTTGCAGATAGAAGCAGCTAATGAAATAAATACACCACCACAAAAAACCAAGTGCCCTCAGGAGTCACCATTGCTGAGTAAGTATAGAACAAAATGCTATTTAGATGCCTTTGTATAGATGAAAGAACCACCATGTAACTCAAGGAATCCATCAATCAACCCTTTATGTTAGTTTGTTTATGTTAGTTTGTTAACAAGTGTTAATACACATTAAAACAAATGTTCACTGTTAAACATGTGAATTAGGGCTGCACGATTTTGCATAAAATGAGAATCACGATTTTTTTGGCTTAGAATTGAGATCACGATTCTCTCACGATTTTCTTTTCCAGTATAAATATTTATTGCACTTATTAACTGCACATCAACTTCGTAACAGTTGAGACTGAACATAAAAACAATAAATGTCTCACGTTTTGTTGTTGTACTGCTTGAAATTCCGTCTCCACCGTTGCTCGACACTGCGTGTATAGAGCAGGTAGTGCAACAATAGAAAAATAGTTGCGGGACGGCACTGTGTAGCGTTTGTCTAGGGTGTTGATCATTTTCCTAAATCCCTCGTTTAGCACAGTGTTGATGGGAGCCATATCTTTGGTCAGGTGATAAGTAATAGCCTCCGTAATTTCTTTGTGCCTGCGGGAGTTCGACGTGTATAGGGAAGCGCTGTATAAGGTTCCCGTTATTGATGTTTGGGTGGTTGACCGGAAGGATTTTCTCCTGTCACTTTCTCGTCATCCCTGACGTGCTCTCCGTTGTGTTTTCCCTGCTAATTTTAGCATCACACCGCACAGCTTCTGTATCACGTGGTATAAGGCTCCGCCCTTGTCATTTGTTGAGCAGGAAGAGTGAGCGCTTGTTTTCATGCAGATTACGCCCCGGATCAAAACGCGGTACAGTCGTCGTCGTCGTCTTTTTTTCTTTCTTTCTTTCTTTTTTTTTTTTTTTTTTTTTTAAATCGTTGTCATTTGGAAATGAGATCGCACATAAGTATGAATCGAGATCGCCATTTTCTAACGATTAATCGTGCAGCCCTAATGTGAATGTTGTTTCTCTAGTGGGGGCTGTGAAACTGTCCTTTGAGTCGTCTCTGAAACTGAAGGATGTAGAGAAAGACAACAAAGAAGTAAATGAAGGCGAGTATGAGCCCTCGGATTGCACAGCGAGGCAGAGTGTAGCAATCCTCATCCCTCATCGCAACCGAGAGCGACACCTCCTCTACCTCCTGCATCACTTGCACCCCTTCTTGCAGAGACAGCAACTACACTATGCCATTTATGTCATCCAGCAGGTATTTGTCACCTTTGTGCACAGTTTTTATATAAGGTCATGCTAATTCAGTTCTTATGCTTGTGGAACAGACATTTCTGTTTTATTTTGCATAAAGCTGTTGAAACTTCCTGGTTACATACATAGTGTTACTTTGTAACACTATAAAGGAAAAATATAACCGGTAACACTGAAGGAACTGTGTTCTGAAAAACCAACAGGCAACAGTTCACACTCTTACATGATCTAATACTTTTATTTGGAGTTAACTTTAATTTAGCTCTTGAACTTAACTGGCAGAGTGAATCTTAAACTGCCTCTGCTCATAGCTTTAATGATTCTCAGCTCTGCTTTCATATGT